GTGTTGCTATGATTTTTCCACACAGGTTTATTTTTCTGCCATCTACTTTGAAAAACGGACCAGTTTCATCGGCAGAAAGACACATACACCATCTGATGCTGCCACTATAATACTTCTATGTTTCATGTTCTTACATTTGAAAACTTACTAAAAAAATCATTTTCATTTAAGTGCATCTGCACATTTATTTTTCTTTTTTATATTTTGCTTGAGTCATGTCTTCTTCCTCTCTGAGTGGCCAGTACATTTTAGTACCAGATATATTTTATGGTGGATAATGACATTCTCATGGCAGTTTCAGCCAGCAACCTCAAAAAGTCTTTTGATATTGTTCAGTCAGTGACCTAAACCTTTTGCACCAAAACATGATGGGACACAGAACCTTCTTGTTCTCTTCTCCTTCTTCAATGGTATTATGTGTAGATTATGTATAAGACACAGAACTTGTGAAGTTGTACATTTCTCCTGCTGATGACTTAACTTGATTCATTTAGATTTTTTTTTTTTTAAATATCACTCAATGTAGAAGAGAACTTACAGTGTTACCTTAAAATAAATTAATAGTCTTGATCCAGTCTGACTGAGCTGCGGCTTTTCTTGCAACAAAGAGAACAGATAATTAAATTTACAAAGTATAGACTTGCAGGGAATGCTTATTTATGCAACACTTTTCAGATTTTGCTGTTTTGTAAAATAAATAAATAAAACCCATGCGCCATGTGTTTTTCATTTTACAATTATGTAAAATACTTTGTTTCAGTATGCCCCCATATAATCCCCATAAAGCAAAGTGCAATCTGTGGTTGTAGCAGGACAAAATATGAATAAAATTAAATATATAAATATTGCGTTGTATTTATCATTTTCTGAATACGACAGTGCTCAAGATTACTGCTCAGACATTCAAATGTGTCAGAAATGCTCTGCAGTCAGTCTTGTCTTTCTCAACATGCATTTTACGCTGAGACCATAAAATTGACCCAACTCAAATAGATGGCAGTCAAATTTTGCCTGTGCGCTGTCCAATTTGTTTTCAGAAGGGAAAAGAATAAAATTCATTTTGAAAGAATAGTACACTTTTGCATTAAGATGGTTTGTACGTAAATTGGGGATGATCGTGATTTCTTGTGGCGTCATTACTATAAAGTTCTCAAAACTATAGGTTGATTGGTTCGTTGCTTTTTATTAAACCAGCCTTTTCATCTGTTTTTCAACAGGACAGCTATGTTTGTTCAGCATTTTTTCAAGTCTCTTTGTTTGCCTGTGCACATCATACCACATAAAAAGTTTGTGATCGGCTATTGTGGTAGTACAAATAGAAGATTATGCCTGTAGGCAGAATAGGAGGTCAGCACAGGCTGTCTATCTCCAAAGAACATCCTGTCTTTAACTAGAGCTCTCACGAGCATGCCGTGCGCGCACACACACAGCACACTTCATTTTTAATTCAATATGCAAATTGAAACTGCAGTTCATTTGCTGATGAAAGGGGATTCATGCTCAATTATATCTTAATGGGTTGGATATAACAGCCTGCTCAGGCCAACAGATTTTCATTAGATGATTTTTTTATTGGGTCAAATGTGTCTTAAATAACCTGAATTTACTAAAGTAAAAGTGAAATGATCTAACCTAAACCAAAGGGCTGCCTTCCTACCTCATTTCATCACTACGTCCGTGTATCAGCTATGTTGTAAGCTGGAAATTTCACAATTGTTGCATATTTTTTATATTGCCCAAAAATTCTGTAAGTGCAATGTTAATATGTGCACCATTACATTTTTTGAGTCATATTTATGTTACAAAAAATAACTATTTTAGGTAGATAATCTGATTTCACACAAAGAGCAGTTTTCAAGTGATGAGTTCATTCATTAAGGGGAAAAAGTTACCCAAACCTGTAAAACTTAAATGCTCCAAACCTAATGGTTAGGGTTGGCATGGCAACAATCGTTATGTGTGTGTTTGTGAGATTATTAACAACGTGCTTTTAAAATTATTCTGGAAGAATTTTGAATCACTTTTTGCACATTTTTATTTTTTTTTTAGTCATTCATAGTGGGTTTTTTTATTTTTATTTTTTAAGTATGAGTGTCTGGGTTTAGGTGATGCCACAGCTTCTCCATCAGACTTTATTTAAACCAAGACTTTGACTCAAACACTAAAATCTCTTGTTTTTATTTGACCCTTTTGAAAGCGGACTTTCTGTTGTGCTTTGGATCATTGTCCTGCTGCTCAACCCAGGTGTGGTCAAACTTAAGATCAATAGCTGGACATTGTCATTCAGGGCTTTCTGGCAGAGAGCAGATGTCATGTTCCCATCAACTACAGCGACTCATTTAAGTACTGAAGTAGCAAAGCAGCCTAAACCTTCACACTACCGCCATGTTTGACTGTCAGAGTGATGTTTTTTTCTAAACTGCTGTATGAGTTTCCCCAGATTTTCCCCAAAATCTTAGTACACATAAAATGCCAACGACATACTCTGACGTTTGGTGTTGTACCACACGATAATCATTAAAGGATGAAGTGGTATGGCTATTTTTGCAAGTCACACAAATACATTAGCTCAGGAAAACCTAGATGACTTAAGAAAGATAAGTTTTAGTTGGACAAGGTTTCTTTAAATAATTATTTTAATCCTACAAGAAAATCACTAAACTAAAATGCATATATGAAAAAGACAAAATTGTTGCTTCTCGTTGCTTAGAATGATTGACACAACCTTTGAAAATGACGTGTTTAAACGTTCTAATGTCAAAAGTACTAATGTGGCATAGATTTTGTGAAAAACAGCAAAAAAGACGTGAGTTAGCAACACTATATGTGAAGCATGCTAACCTTGTGGATATTTAAAGAAAATGGGAGAGGGGAACACAAGAATGTGTTGCATCCTTCAGTCCTTGTTTATTCTCCGCCAGCCACAAACTGCTCACTGATGACTGGGCGCACACTGCACTCTCTCCGTCAATACCATTATGTTGGAGGGGAACCCCCTGCTTTCAAGCTGGGCGGCTTGGTTGGCGCTTCTCACTATACGGCCTGAACAGCTTGAAAATTAGATATGCAGGAGGGTAGGTGTGGGGGAGGGGGGCTTAGCAGCGCCGGCGTGAAACACAGGTAGTGTTCAATAGCAGCAGACCGATGCTGCATTGCGCTCCTCCTGAGCAGGTCGGTCCGCCGAGGGACAACATCCACTCAGCAGTGTGTAGGAGGAGGTGGTGGATACTGCTGCTCACAAAGAAACAACAGAACAGAACGGTGTCTGAATACAAATCATTGCTGCTACATTGAAATTGTAGAAGGGTAATCTGAACCTCATAAAGGACCACAAAAATCAATCTTTTTTGGTAATTTTTGTCAGCCTTGAGCTGTTTTGTTGTTCATGCATATATTGCGTAAATGGTCCTTCATATACATCTTCCTGTTAACATAAGCTGGCTATCAACAGGAAGATGAATACAAGCACATTAAGAAGTTGAATGGAAGAAGAAAGGCTGTAAGAAAAATGTACATGAGCAAAGGGTGTTGATGGCAGTCTTGAAATGGTTGGGAAGCAAAGTAGACCAAGAAAAAAAAAAAACTTGTGGACTCCAGTTGTGGTCTGGGCTTCAAGATCTCCATCATACTCCATACTCCAGTGGAACATTCCTCACTGCTCCATTTTTTTTTTTTTTTTGATTTGTGGATATTGGCTCTCAGTGTGGTTCACTGAAGTCCCAAAGTCTTAGAAATGTCTTTACAGTCCTTTGCAGACAGATATAAGTGAACCTTTTTTCTTTACTAATCTATTCCTGAGCCTCTGTAGATGCAATGCGCTTACATTTATTTTATTTTATATGTGAATAAGGTTCTATTTTGACATGTTTTTTATTCCTAAAGTTTGTAGCAACAGAACTAGAGTATGGCTATTGAAGCTAAGCAAAAAAATAAGTAAAAAATTAAATGTGCTTTATTTCTATGTACATAGAAAAGACACAAGAAACGATTTTTCCTCATCTGAAACATTTCAACATTAGAAAAAAGGGTTGCCAGAGGGGATTTATAAAGGAGCAAGCACACGCAGCTGTGTTTCCCTTGATCTCACGTTTCTGATCAGGAAAAGGAAAAAAAAAAAAAAACAAGTATAGCTCTATAAAGCCTATAGAACATAGTGCATTTAAAAACACCAGGAGGATATGCAGTGTTCATGTGCTGCATTTGAGATCTTTTAATCTACTTCATGTTGCAAGACAGGTTCTGTTTAAGTGATATTTTTGATTGTGTGCATGTAGTACTAATCAGACCTGGGAATATTTAGTGATGCTCAACTCCAAAAGTCATTATGATTTAAGAGGGTAGATCGGGGAAGGGCTGACCACTTTATTAATTTGCACAACTTTTATTTGTAGAATTTAAAAGTGGAGACAAGCTATATTTTTCAGTCTGTTGTAAAAAAAAAAAAACATTATTATTGTAATCATTATTATTATTCAGATTCTGTTAACTCTACGTATATAAATCACTGATTGCTACTCTCCTAAAACTTTATTGTGGCTTTTGGTTGGGCGGCACCCTCAAGAGTTTCAGTGAGACCCATTTGACCAGCCCTTCTTAAACTTTCTAGAAGCGCCCCTGTTTAGAAGAAGGAACGGAGCTTTTCTGCACTTGCCCCGGCGAAAAAAGAGCTTCACCAGCAGAAATCCTGCCTGAATCCTGCATGCACTGACTCGTCTTAGAGCCAGATCACTCCTTTTCTCCCCCGTCGCTCTTTGTCCCCCTGTATGAATATGTGAATAAAGATATTTCCCCACCAGGAGCTGTCAGCGGCCGGGACAGCAAGCCATTTAATCTTCCTATGACAGGAGAGAGGGGCTGAGGTCTGTCCCCTGTAACCGACACACACACACACACACACACACACACACACACACACACACACACACACACGAACCCATGCACATAGAATGAGAGAGGGGGAGAGAGAGAGAAAGAGATAGAGAGCGACCCAACACCGCCTCTGCTGCCTCTCCTGTTACAGCTCGGCGATCGAGTTACGGCGAAAATGTTGCAGTAGCGCAGAAGAGAGAGAGAGAGTGTGTAAGAGAGAGAGAGAGAGAGAGAGACTGCAGCATCACCGGAGACCGGAGGCAGCAGCAGTCCCGAGCAGTGCAGGTGAGAGGGAGGGGAAAAAAAGAGCTGGAGGAGGAGGAGTGAGCGAGTGAGAGAGAGAATGCGGGACTCTTGGAAGAAATACGCATCTGCTCTCGGTCCACCACCGCTGCATGTTTGCTTCCATCTACCCATCCATCCCTAGGACGGAATACTCTAATATATGCCGAGTAACGGGGCAATCCCACCAAAATAGGGGGACACAACAGTTTTTCTTTTTCTTTTATTTTGGTGCGGGAAAGCGATTTGAAGAAACTCGCTCTCGTCCTCTTCTAACTTGCGTAAAGGAATCTGAGTGCTTGGCACGTTGCTCCACTGCGGGAAACGCGGAGGGTTCAGAAGGTAAGAGAGAGAGAGAAAAAAAAAAGACTCAGCAGAAGCGTCTTTTTTTTCGCAAGCAAAGCTTTGTGATAATTTTTGAACGTCTGTTTTCACCCCGAACTGATTGGTGTTTTTATAATAATAATAATAATAATAATCTTCTTTTTCTCGCTTCTTTTGTGTAGTGGTGCTGCATTGCAGTTTCTATCTGAAAAGCCTCTGTCCCGAGTGTGACTGGAATCAAAAGAACTTCCAAATGGGCATTATAAATTGATAAGAGCCTCTTCAGGATAGCTCCTATGGCTTAAAGGAGAATGTAAAGAGTGAAGCGGATTTAATCACAGGTTGATTAATAGAAAGCATGATGGACTTTTTTTTTCTTTTTTTCTTTCTTTTTTTTACATCCTTACGGCTTAAAGAAGGAAGTAAGAATGCAGAAATGTTTTTATAGAAGTTGAAAACCCACTACTGAGTGTAGGAGGAGAGAATTAAAAAAAAAGAAAAGGAAGAAAGGATCTGCTGAAGTGAACTACACTGAAGCTTTTTCCCGGACCCCAGGCGGCAGTCCGCAGAGAGCGATAGAGAAGGTAAGAAAGGATAAATCAGACACCCACGCTGTGAAGCTGCACCAGACCACAAAACACCAATAAACTAAGAGAGGAGCCCACAGCTGGGGAGTGAGGAGGAAGGAAGCAAAAAGGAGCCATGCCGAGCCTTGGTGCAGTGCACTCTGTGGTGTTGCTGCTGCAGCTGCTGACTCAGCTACCGGCTGCCGACTCAGCTCTCCGGTACCGGGTGGCGGAGGAGGGCCCGCCGGATGTGAGGATAGGCAGCGTGGCCGCCGACCTGGGTTTAACGGCGGGCACTGGCAGCGGAGACGTCACCTTTGCCCTGGAGAGTGGCGCAGAATTCTTCAAGATCGACAACGTGACAGGTGAGCTGACCACAGGCCCAAAGCGCATAGACCGAGAGAAGCTCCCACAGTGCCAGATGATCTTCGATGAGAATGAGTGCTTCTTGGACTTTGAGGTGTCAGTCATAGGACCGCTGCAGAGCTGGGTAGACCTCTTCGAAGGTCGAGTTGTCATCACAGACATCAATGACAACACGCCTTCCTTCCCCTCACCTGTCCTGCAGCTCTCAGTCGAGGAGAATCGCCCCATTGGGACTCTGTACCTGCTTCCCACAGCCACAGACAGGGACTTTGGGCAGAATGGCATTGACCGCTATGAACTTATCCAAGATAATGGAGCTGGGTCAAGTTCAACGAGGCGCACAGCAGGAGGAAACCCCATTACTAGAGTGGATGGACTAGACCGCAGGGGCAGAAATGGTGATAGTGGAGGAGGAGCAAGGAGCAGTGTGTTTGAGCTGCAAGTAGCAGACATACCAGATGGTGAGAAGCAGCCTCAGCTCATTGTGAAGGGCACATTGGATCGAGAGCAGAAGGACTCATATGAGCTTGTCCTCAAAGTTCGAGATGGAGGGAACCCACCACGTTCCTCCCAAGCTCTGCTCCGGGTTTCTATAACTGATGTGAATGACAACAGTCCACAATTTGAGAGGTCCACGTATGAAGCTGAGATGACTGAAAATGCTCCTCCAGGCACGCCTGTTCTCCAGGTCAGAGCCTCTGACTGGGACATCGGGGTAAACGGGCAGGTGGAGTACGTCTTTGGAGCTGCTACGGAAAATGTCAGGCGGCTCCTGCGGCTGGATGAGGCAACTGGTTGGTTGAGCGTTCTTCACAGGATTGACAGGGAAGAGGTGGCCCAGCTGAAGTTTACAGTGATGGCCAGGGACCGGGGTCAGCCGCCACGGACCGATCGCACCACAGTAGTTTTGGCCGTTCGGGATGAAAATGACAATGTTCCAGTTGTGGAGATCAGAAAGATCGGACGGATCCTTGTACGGGACGGGGCTGCGCTGGTGCCAGAGAACGTTCTGGTGGACACGCCTGTCGCTCTGGTTCAGGTGTCAGATCGAGACCAGGGAGAGAACGGGGCAGTGACCTGCACTGTGGTAGGAGATGTCCCATTCACTCTGAAACCAGCAGGCGAGACACTACTCCCACCCCCACCTGCAGATGAAGCCTTTGACAGGTAAGCTAAACTAAAGGTAACCCTTCAAAGTAACACTCTGGATCAATCAAGCATAACATTATGTCCATGACGGACAACCCGACCAAACAAATTGTGATGCTCTTTATATCGTGACTCCTTTGTTGCAGTACCTACATTGCTTTATTTATCTATTTGAGCTACAGTAACTTGTGTGCTTGATCGGCCAATATTCATTTATGAGCCTTTTGCTGGTTCACAACATTGTACAATGCAGAGCAAGTTGCTGATGCAGTTGTCTAGCGATCACAATTTTGCTCTAGTCAAGCTTGCAAAAATCCTTACACTTGTTCATTTTTCCTGCTTCTAACACATCTATTTTGAGAACACAAAGCTCACCCGTGGCCTAATCTATCCCAGCCACTTACAGGTGCCACAATAACGCTTTAACTTTTAGCAGAGGCTATGGCTGATTTGTGTATGTTGAATAGTTGCAAACAGATTTATAAAACCCACACTGGCTTTCAGTTATTAATTCCTTCACTGCATTTAATCAATAAGTCTGCAACTGATATTAAATCTTCTAGGAAGATGCTGAGATACCTCAAAGTACATGTGTCTGAAAATGTATACCTTTTGAGAGATATGAAGCTTCAAAAAAGTTCAAAATGATTGGTTTAAAATTAAGGAAGGATGTAGAAACTCTAATGAAAAATGAGAGATTACACTTATTGTAATTGTGGAAGTACCATATTGGATTTGCCAGCAAATGTTTTAAACAGGGTATAATAATTTGATATTATTACCAAAATGATCAACCGCTAGTTTGTACAAATTTCTCTGAGCAGTTGGTTCTACATCTAGTTTACTGTAATGTAATTGACCATCATTCTCACTATTGCTTATAAATTCAATAACCAGATAATAGATCCTGACTCAACCTTTTCCTAGAGAAGTATGCAACTTATATGAATTTAAAAGTGGAAATTTACATACATACAAGAACAGTATTGCGTTTGACATATAAACTTTAAACAATATCTGTTCTCCAGTTTTGCCATTTCCTCTCAGAGAAAGCAATATTTTTACACCCTTGTACCCTGCCCTCTGTTTTTTAAAGAGAGGTGCCTCAAGAACTGCATGGGAATTACAGCAATGTCACTCATCTGCTAATACTACAGAGTGGTTAGGCTGTCATCCTGTCTGTAAACTTTGGTTAGAAATATCTATGGAGGTGAAGGGATTTACATTTTTTAATGTCACTTTTGCTTCACAGACTCCAAATGTCAAAGCTCAGTCATTTGTGAGAACATTGCCTAAAGGCGTGAGGGTGAGAAGTCACGGTGCCTTTTGGGTTAATAACTGCCCTCAAACACTGTAAGACCTGTACAATGAGACTTGTGATTTTCAGTCCTGGGGTTTTCCTTCACTGAAGAAAATCACTAAAGCTCAGATCACGTGAGTGTTCTATCAAAATCAATAGGGTAATTTGGTTAAAATGTCACAGTCACAGATTTTTTTTTTTTTTACTAAGAATGTCTCAGGAGATCACAGCAATCATTCTTGGTCTTTGAAATGATTTTATGCTAAAGCAAAACAAATTATTAAATAATTTGCTTAAATCAATATTTTTTTGATTAAATGAAATAATTAACTGTAGTTTCTTAATTTATTAACATTTGTAGACAATTAGCAAGCAAAAACACCATTCAAAACATTATTATCACATTCTAGCAGTTAGAAATCTACTAACAAATATGTCAGAAGGCTTTTTTTAAATTAGTTGGACATGTTTGAATACATTATAACCCTGAGTTTAATTAAATCAAATTTAGCAAATATTTCACTACTTCATAATGTGTCACACACCATAAGAAAACACTTAACATCAAAAGAACAACCAAATGGTGAATGGCAGTGACCTTGTTTGACCACATTAAGGAACAAAACGGATATTGTTTCCATTTAAAGCAGCTTCTGTACTGATGATATCTTTTCTTTCATCTGTTTCCACAGAAACAAGAAAAAATATTTCTTACATACTTCAGCCTTGCTGGACTATGAGGCCACAAAAGAGTACAGTGTAACCATTGTGGCAGTAGATTCTGGCAGCCCCAGTCTATCCAGTAACAGTTCCTTGATGGTGCGGGTGGTAGACATCAATGATCACGCTCCAGTCTTTGCCCAGAGCAATGTGGAGGTCCACTTTGCTGAGAACAATGGACCTGGTGAAAGGGTGGTCACTGTAGTAGCCACAGATGCAGACAGTGGAAAAAATGCTGAAATTGCATATTCCTTGGATCCTGCCTCTAACGGACCTTTTTACATAGATGTAGATAATGGAGATATCCGAGCTACAGGGATTCTTGACCGTGAGCAAAGAGAGAGGTATGAGTTGCGAGTAATTGCAAAGGACAAAGGAACGCCCTCTCTGCAAGGCTCTGCAACCGTTGTTGTCCAAGTGACTGATCGCAATGACAACGCACCAAAGTTTGTTCAAGAAATCTTCACGTTCTATGTAAAGGAGAACCTGCTCGCCAACAGTCCAGTCGGCATGGTTACAGTGACCGATGCAGACGAAGGTGAGAACGCGGAGCTCAGCCTGTTCGTAGAGGTAGACGGGGCAGATGGAAAGATGGGGGACAAGGCGGAGGGAGAAGATAGCAGGAATGAGCGAGAAGAGTTATTCTCCATTGAGAACAACACCGGAACAATCTTTTCTGCTGCATCCTTTGATCGTGAAAAGCTTTCCACATACACCTTCCGTGTTCGGGCTGTGGATGGAGGGGAACCCCGCAAAACTGCCACTGCCACAGTCTCGCTTTTTGTGACAGATGAAAATGACAATGCGCCTTCGATTACGTCTCCCGCCAATGAGTCCTACACCCTCCTACCACCTGCCAGCAGTGCTCGCACCATTGTCAGGACTGTAACGGCCATAGACTCAGACACTGGACCAAACGCTGACCTTCGCTATGCATTAGTGGGGGGAAATCCATTCAGACTATTTGAGATTGGCCACACCAATGGAGTTATCACTCTAGCAGAGCCTCTGGAGCGGCGCCACAAAGGTCTTCATCGCCTGGTTGTACGAGTCAACGACAGTGGCATCCCTTCGCTTTGTGCCACCGCACTGGTTCACGTCTTCATCAATGAGAGCTTGGCAAATGCCACCCTGGTGGATGCACAGGTAATTTTTATGCTTCAGTATATGTTATTGCAAACAGATTTCTAAATACTTACCCATACATACAAGCTTTAAACAACTTGTAATATTCAGGAATTATTGGAGGTTTCTCTGTCATATTTATTTGTATACTGCTGAAGGGTGGTGATGATAGTTCCTGTGCAAATTATTTATTTGGTAACATTATTTACATGGTAACGTTACATCTCGCAGCCTACACAGTGTTGTGGTTTTCAACAAAAACTGGGCACATGATTCTGTGTATATTTGTTCAAGATTGAAAACACTTTTTCTTCTGGCAATCTGCTTTGTAGTTTAGATTGTTCCTGGAGCTTGTTCTTTATCCGGTATGTATTATTGTAATGGCTTTGTGGTTAAAATAACTGTTATGACTGAAGTGGTTCTTTTTTATGGTACATTGAGCTCAGAGCTGAGAGCTTTAGGTGTGGTTGTGTGTATATGCATGTGTCAGAGCAAGAGGGAGCGTGAGAGAGCATTAGGGTTAAGTCTTTAGGAGAAGCAAGAGGGAGGGAGATGAGTCTGCCCCAGTTTGGACTTGTAATAGAGCATGCTCAAGTATGTTTCAACATTTGAATAGAAGTTCAAGCTAAAGAAATGTCTCTTCTCTATATTCCTGCTTATTGATTAGGTTTTGAGGTCAGTAGCGTGTTAGATCCAGTTCTGAGCACAGCAGGGTCAATATTTGTTTAGCAAAACTAATTTTTTACTAAAATGGAAAAGGGATCTCTAAAAGTATTTTCCATCATTATTGCATGAGTCTGTGTGGTCTCCTTGAACAGAAGACTTTAACATAGAATTAGAACTGAATTGAAAGAGCCACCCCATCTGCAGAGGTAATTGACAAGACTCAGAGACATTACTGAGATACTAGAAATAACTAGAACATTATGTGTTCCAATTCAGCCTATGCCTTGCCGGTTTAAATCTTTCCTTCTGCTCCGCTCTCGCATTAATTGAATCTGCCTCCAATTATGGTTTAAAAATGTTCAATTAAGCTATAAATGCTGGCAGGTTATAATTACTAAAGCTTAATCTCTGGTGTGAAAAACAGGTAATTTGTATTGACTTATAATTAAATTGTCTCAATGGCCTTGTAGTTCCTTTGTTTGTTCTGAAACAAAACACTTGTGGTTTTGAGTTGCACTTAAGACTCGGTTTTGAACACATTTTGCTCGTATTTCCTACAAGTATACAAGGTCTTCATTTGCCAGGTATGTGCATGCAAAGACCTGACTTTAACTCTGTAGTAGCTTGGAGACATTTATGAGAAAGCTACATTTCAATGTAATTTGTGGGGGGGGGGTTTATGTGGCCACCACAAAGTAGAACATTATTGAAGAGGAAGTAAAACTAGAAAAAAATTGCTGTTCCTAGTGAAACAGCCGTAAGAATGCATATTTGCAGAATGATTGCTGCAGAGAACGCAAAACACAGCAGAACAAAGCAGAACAAAGCAGAACAAAGCATAAGAAATAGGGGAAAAAGCAGAATAAAGCTACAGTCATACATGGTAGAAGTCTTTTGCTAAAGAGTGAAATTCAGCCAAAGACATAGCATGAATTAGCAGAAGCATTATTTTGAATTCAACCTGAAATATTAGAAAATTTTAAAAGTAAAACATAGCAAAATAAATTTCATAGATTAGCAGAAGCATAAATTAGTATGCAAACTGAAATAAGTGAGTAGTGAAACATAGCAAAAAGCATAAATTAGCAGAAGCACAAATTAGTATAAAACATGAAATAGTTGAAAGAGTTGAGAAAGTAAAATATAGCAAAAAATTGCATGAATTAGCAGATGCAGAAATAAGTATAAAACCTGAACTAGTTTAAGAACTAGAAAGGTGAAACTTTGCAAAAAGCATAAATTAGCAGAAGCAGGAATTAGTATAAAACCTGAAATATTTGAAAAGAAAACACAACAAAAAAGCACAGATTACCACAAAAAGCAGAATATTTAGATATATGAATTGCTAAAATTGGTTAAAGTTTACAGAAGACCTTGGAAGACAGTAAAACCAGTAAAAGCAGAAGGCATATACAGAAAGGTAGACAAGCAGAATGCTGACACACAGATAGTAACAGAGCACAAGACAGAAATACATTGAAAGAATAGGAGAAGGTGTGACATGGCTGTACTCCAGTAGAGTTTGACAGAAAACATTTAGACTTGTAGCAATGATAGTAATAGTTCCTTAAAGTAAACATACATGGCTACATTTTAATGCATAAATAATTCTTGTACAGTGGAATGTGTATGAACATCATCATTTTGTTTGTCAAAAAGCATGGAAAGTTCAAAAATCATCAGTTACTATACAAGGTGGTGAGAATCCCACCTTGTATTTCAGTGGGGCAAATATTTGCACAAAAGGGCAATTATTTCAAAAAAGTACAATAGTGAATTTTAGCAAAAATCATAGCAGAAATCTCCAGAAGAAGCAGAACGTTTCGATATATGAATTAGCACAATTAGTTGAAGATAGCAGAAGTAGTTAATGACCGAAAAATGTGAGCAGAATCAGTGAGAATGCATTGGATGCATTCTCAGTGATAATACTTAGTTTTATTTTTTTAATTATTACTGAGTCTAAAAAGGGTGGCACACCTTTGTATTTAGCCTCTGTAATCTGATAACCTGAGATATAATTAAGTGCTTCCAACTTCCCACAGAAGTCGACCTGTCTGTGTATTAATCCCAGCATAAATCCAGCTGTTCCAGGAAGGGCTTAGAGGTTTGTATGGAGCGCGACCACAAAACACAGCCGACCAGGATAAAGTTGTGGAGGTTTAATGCAGGGTTCGGTTATTAAGCAGCATTCCCATCTTTGATTATTTTTAAGGAGTATCGTTCAATTCATCAGCTTGATATAGAAAAGGTGTTGCACAGGTACGACCCTTCCAGAACATGGCTTTCCACCGCAACTGGAGGAGAGCATTTTTCTGAGAGATAACCAAGAAGCCGTTGGTTACTAAATGACTTGTGGCAGAGCAGTTATTAGTTCTGCACTCCACAAATCTGACCTTAATAGAAGAGTGACGACAACAACACAGTTGCTGAAAGAAAGGCATCAAAGTCCCACAGGTAGTTTGCCACAAGACAAAGACGCTAGACGAAGCTCTCATTAGTTTTGGAAATCCGGTCAAAGAGTCATTTTATTTAAAGAGACAGTATTATGTAAAATCCTCTTTTTGAGCCTCACGTCATGTTACGGTATTATTCCCATCAAAAACAATACCTAGTGTTGATTTTTTTATTTTTTTTTTTTCATGCCTACTTGAGAAATCCTTTGATCCTCTGTGGCACCCATTAAGCTCCGCAAAACACTTAGTGGAAGTGAGCAACACCTTTGACAAAGCTCCTCCCGAGAGCTGCAGCTTCTAATCTTCCAAGCTTCCGCCTCACAGTGCACCCCACCCCTGCAACTTCCTCACTCAGTTCCTGCAGACTATCCAGCAACAACTTGCAAATACCTGGTGGATCTGCACATCTGCTGAGCTCATCCTGGGCTGCTTCTTCTTGGTAAAAACATTGTTAAAGTGTTGATAGAGGAGCCATGCCATGATGACGTCTTGAAGGCAGAGTGTCAGATAGAGCAGGAGTTTCTTAAGACAATTTCAAGACATTGAATTACAAAGTCAAATTTCTTGTAAGTAATATTTTATATATACAGTATTTTTTTTATAAATAATAAAGGTATCATAGTTTATATATATATATATATATATATATATATATATATATATATATATATATATATATATATATATATATATATATATCATACTCTCCCTTTAAGAACACACAAAAAAAAAACAATTAAAATGTTTGTATCATAGAATGTGGACACATGTTGGAAGTTGCTGGTTGACTTATTTTATGCCCTGAGGTTCTCCCAAAGGCAGCAAAGATTACAATCTCCAGGAACTCACTCATTCAGTAAAAATCTGTTTGCTTCTTACACCTTGTAGGGTTTGCCAACTGTCACAAAGCGAAACAGCTAAAACCGCTTTCTGAGATTTATGAGGAACTATGATCCTTATTTTGAATGAGGCTACGTTTCACTTAAGAGTCTTTCAGTGAGAGCCTTTCAGATTCTTTCAAAGAAAGAGAAGCAAGTTAGTACAGATAGCAGTTGTAACATTTCATCACACTGGTTATTAGGAAGAGCACCTCATGCGTGTGACACTGAAAAGTAGAAAAAAGAAAAATCAAGGATGTGAGGATTAGAAGAGAATACTTAGTAAGAGGTAGAATTATCTGCAGCGTGCCTAAATGGCTGCGGCTATTAAATCAAACAATAGGGTGTAATATGGCTAAGCTGGTCTGAAAGCTGCCATTGAGTACAACATGCACAGTTTAGTTTGATTGTAGGGAGGAACTTTGTGGCGTAATTGAGTAGAAGTCATTTAAGACAGAATACCTCCATCTCATAATGAAGTCAAACTGGGTGGTGGACGGATGCCAGATGCAATTAGGGAACGAAAACGGCTGCTACCGCTGCACCACGGCAGCAGAAAATTACTCTGCTCTTTTCTATCTAACCGTACTGGGTGAACCACATGTTTGGTAATTATCTGTAATATTATGCTGAAGGCTTTGAGCTCGAGAAAGTGGAAATTGACATTCTGGACCTTGTGTGTCATTGTTGTCATTTGAATACCTTTGAGGAACTCTGCCTATCAGAGCCGGGCTGCATGGCTAAGGTGATTGGTGCTTTTCTATTTGTATTCAGGGATCCTGTGCAATTTGGAAAAGTCTGAAATTTCATTTACAAGTTTACATGTCTGGATAAGCATGGTAGAGAAAACAGAGTTGGGGATCGTATCAGTATCTCCACTTTTTGTTTCCTGCTTCATAATCTAAATCCACTCATCGAATTTTGCACTCATCTATCTATCTATCTATCTATCTATCTATCTATCTATCTATCTATCTATCTATCTATCTATCTATCTATCTATCCATCAAAACCATGCCCTCTGAGGAAATATGAGGTATATTCACTTTTGAACTTTTGTATTTATCCTTTATACAAATATTGGCAAAAATGAACTGGGAATGGCGGAATATGGAGTCTCCGAACATACAGAATTTTGACATAGAAATGTGTAGAAAATCTGTGTATTTGTTCTTGGATTAGAGTCTCTGTCATAAGCTTTTTTCTACGTGTTTGATTAACTCCTCCTGTGTTGCGTTCAAACAACTGCTCTTTGTTGTTTGAAAGAGAGAGAAGCACTGCATCAGTCATACTTCCAGCATCTGTGGTAACATATCAATGACCTAGTCCTTGGAGAGTGGAGCAGAGAGACAGCCATGCTAAGTCCAGCGACAAGAAAGCACACACAGCAGAATCAAAGAATCCACTGGGATTTCAGAACGCATCAGAAGCCCTGGAAACATATGGTTCCAAGGCTGCACCTATAGACACATAGAAGTTGTCTGAACTTGGCAGTTGATGTTGGACTGCATTTTTTGCACACTGTCACACATGCAGGAGTTTACTCACACGCATGTACCCTCCAACACTGGTTATGCTTTATTTATGTCTGCACACTCAACTTGCTCTGAACTGTCACATAGTGTGTGTGCGGAAAAAAAATAAATAAATAAAGCGACGCATACCCAGCAGAATGAGAATGGATAGGAATACTGCAGGCACCACGAGGAGCAGAGGGGTTGTGATGGGAGGAGCAGAGCTTGGCAGAGAAGCACCTCTGCAGTGGAAGCAGAACAATGGACTAAAACAAACACAACTCACTAACAATTTAACTTAATTCACAGATGGATGGGGCTGGAACAATGAACGTAACACAGTGTCACTCTTAGCTCGGGGGGGAACAAGAGGAAGAGAGGGCAATAATGTAGCTCCTCTGTGTTTGTCTCAGATAATCTAATAAGCCAGTTCCACAGCGCAGGCATATAAGCAAATTCTCTGCTGTATTACTAATACTGCAGCTTGTGCAGAAGTTATTTTACTTGGCCACTTCAAAGCACGATGCCTCAGTCACTCTCCTGTATGTTCCCGCAAGCCTTATTACCACCAGTCTTATTTGCAGCAGGGATTATAAGTCTGTCATTCCTCACCTATCCAGGCCACAGTCTTTGTCGTTTGAGCTCCCCGACAAGGTGCAGGCTGCGGAATGAGTCGTCTCGCTAACGGACAGCTTACACTTGGTGTGTATTTATATAGACCATGCACAGGCATCGCTGTCTGAGTTCGTGTTTGGGTATATGTACATAATGACTCCTACGAACACATTTTTCACACGTTATCTTCTGAAATAAAACTGTACAGCCTTGATTTCTCCTGTTGAGAAGCACACAATAGTGTTTAATGAGTGTGTTTGTATTTCAGCATAACCAACATTGTTTTAATGATCCTTTTACAAATGTACAAGCTTGTCTTTGTGAGCATATTCTTTTATTTTTGACTGGAGGACCTTTTCATTGGCCTATCTTCTTAAAACCATAATGATCAAAGCGCTGTTCTTATCGAGTTTACCATCATTTTTAGGGTTAATGTCTGGATTAGGTTAAGCCAAAAGATATGGTTTGTTATTTTCTGCAGGAGTGGGGTTTGGTTATGTTCTGGATATTCAAAAATAGTGTTGCTCAAATGAGAGGACATCGATATTAAAGTATCTGCATAATGATTTCCTCAACTTTCTTATTCTTCCGAATGTTTGTTTTATCAAGGAAATCACAATACTATGTAATGAGTGCATTTTTGTTTTAGTATAACCCACAAACTCTGGAGCAATTTAAATTCCTTTTGACTACATATTTTTTTAATTGACTTTTAGCACATATTGACCCAAATGGTTGTATTTGTATTTTTATGTCCTTTTACCCCACTAGCAGTCTTTGTTATTTTAACAGCCTTTTACATTCTTTTTTCTGTCTTATGTTTGGTTTTTATTTTTTTATTTTTTTTTTGTCTTTTATGCCTTTAAAAGAAAATGCTTTTTTTCTTTTAAAGCATTTTACACAGCCTATGGCGTTGGAAAACAAAAGATATTCACCTTGAATTTCCTCTAATGAACCCGACGACCAATAGGTCTTTTCTGGTGCTGACTCAAATGTAGTTTTCGGGTTGTGGGTTATTGGTTAATACTGGTGCGAGGTCTGAGTTGAGGCTTAGAAAAGGAGCAGCTGCTTTGCTTGACAATGTATTAGCCTCCCTTTCATCTTTCTTCTGTTTTTCCTCTTCTTTGTTACTTTTAAAGCAGGGGTGCCCAAGTCCAGTCCGGCAGCCCACAAAAGCTCCTATCCTGCAACTCACAGGTGCATTCTTTTTCCAACACAGTGAAATCAAATGAATAGCTTGTTACCAGGCCTCTGCAGAACTGAATGACATGGTGATGAGGAAATCAAGCCATTTGATTCTGATGTGTTGGAGCAGAGATGCATCTGAATGTCTGAATGTTGGCAGATAGAAGCTCTCGAGGACTGGACTTGGGCACCCCAGCTTTAAAATGTCAAAACATCAGAGTAAGTTTGATCTCAAAAAGGTAATGGTAGCAAAAACAAAAGCACTTTTAAAATAATTTAAATTTGTTAAGAGAAAAACGGTATATAAACCAATTTGGTCATCTGTCAAAAAGTAAAAGATCCATAAATATTATAACTAATCGTGCCACCAATATCAGCTGCTTTAAAGAATTTGTGAAAACTTTCAATGAGTTCCTCACATTGCTTGTGCAGAAATGTTGACCCTCTCTTCTTTGTAGAATTGTTTTTACTTTGGCTACATTGGAGAGTTTAGAAGCATGAATGATCGGTTTAAGGTTAGCACCATTTTATTTATTAATGTAATAATTTAATTCATATTTTTATGATTATTTTTATTTTTACCTTTTCATTAATTGACATGCTTGTGTATTTTATGGCGTAGCCCAAATATTCTAGAGCTTATGGTTACAAACAGATGTCTACATGTTGTTTGGGATTTTCTGGTTGGGTGCAGAATTAAGATGGGTGAATTGAACCAGGTTAGTTTTGGATAACTTTCTTTTTTTCCCTATCAGAAATTAAAGAATTGTTTAAAAACAATTTTTTGTGTTCACTCAGCTTATCTTTATCTGATTTAAAGAACAAAATTGGTGATCATTTTAGTTTGACAAAAAAGCAAAAACAGAAGAAAAAACCTTTCACAGTGGAATATATTCAGATAATGGCTAATAAGTTAGACAAGTCAAACAGTCATGTTACTAAAATGAATGGAATCACTACAATGTACCCATCAGAAGTGTGTGTGTGTATGTGCGCGTGTGCGTGTGTGTGTGTGTGTGTGTGTGCGTGTGTGTGTGTGTGTGTGTGTGTGTGCTATCTCAAACAAACACACTGAATATGTTCTTGTTATAGATATTGAAATGGATTTACAACAAAAAAGCTGTTAGCTTACAAAGCAAACCGAAGACCCTGAGAAGGCCCAAAGAGAAAAGAGCTTAAAAATCATTACATAGAGCATTACATGTTTTAAACATCCTCCTTTTACTCCATCCATTGAATTCTCGATGCAAAAATTGTGAAAACAAATCCTTAACCAATCCACGCCTACACTATCGCTTACAAAAGGGATATTGTTTATTGATGAGACAGTAGATGTGTTTGTGCCTCAGGATGAAGTCATAGTCTGCCTCTTGCCTTCATTTTCACAGTTATTGACTGTTTTTGCTTATTTAGCTTCTCTAGCTGCTCCCGACCTCAGGATCTAAAGTTTCCTCTGATTTTTCTCAAATATGATTTAATGCGGTCTAATCCAATACATTCCTCATACTTGCTGTGGATGTGATATGATAAATTTGCAGAATTACAGGAGCAACCTGAAATGCTGCAATTCGAAGGCAAGAGCAATTACATATTTAGTGACACTCTATGTTTCTGGGAATAACTGAGAAGCTCCCACACTAAACAGAATGATAAGTTTAATTACGATGAAGATGCTGTTTGATGTATCTCTGTGGCTCACACCAACTGTGCCAGCTCTTCAGAACGATATTCTGGGATTTTCTTTTCTTTTGCTTTTATAAATATGCAGTTTGTTTAATCTTGTTTATCTTATTTTTCTTTCTGTTCCAAGGTGGCCCGTAGCCTGATGGCCCCACTGTCTTTAGACATTGCCGGGGACCCAGACAGTGAACGTACATTGGGAAAACAGCGCCTCAGCGTTGCCATTGGGGTCCTAGCGGGAGCAGCGGCAGTTATCTTGGTGATTCTTCTTGTGGTCACAGCCAGGCAGTGTGGCACGCAGGGCAAGAATGGCTACGAGGCCGGAAAGAAGGAGCCAGAGGAAGACTTCTTCAGTCCGACGGGGGCTCAACCGCAAGTCAGCCGAGGCAGTGGATCCGACCGTGGTCGCAAACCGCGGCGAGATAAACGTGGCGGAGGCGGCGGAGGCACAACTGGAGGTGGAGGGAAATCGGACAGATCTCTATACAGCGGCATCGTCACAGTCAACGGCCTGCGTCGTCACGTCAACGATGATGATGAGGAGGAACTGAGCAGTGCTAGTGAGCGCCTAGCAGCCCGCTACTGCGCTGTGGATGGTGATCCTGGCAGCCCTCGAATGGGCGGTGGGAGAAGACACCAGTCAAGCCCCGATCTGGCTAGGCACTACAAGTCCAGCTCACCTCTCCCTGCAGTGAATCTCCAGCCTCACTCGCCCCCGGCAGAGGGAAAGAAGCACCAGGCGGTCCAGGAGCTGCCTCCCTCCAACACCTTCGTGGGCAGCGGTGGGTGTGTGGGGAGTGCCGGCTCCAGTAGCAGCAGTACCGGAGGAAGTGGCAACGCAGATGCCATGTCCCTGGGATCGGACCAGTGTTCAGATTACAGCTGCCAGGCTGCAAACAAGTACAGCAAACAGGTAGGACCTCTGGAGTGGGATGGTGTGGATTCCCAATGGCACTTTGAGTCTCTTCCCTCAGTTGGCAGTGCCCTGGAAAATAATTTTTTTTACAGTTCAGTACATTACAACCACATATTATAATGTTTATCATTGAAATTTATTCTATACATTAACACAAAGTAGTGCATAATTGTGAACTGGAACAATTTTATATTTTTTTACATAAAGTCATAAAAAGTGTGGTATACTTTTACCACACTTTGTGTAGATGTAAGCCAAAAAATTATGGCTCTTAGACTTCTGCTCTAAATATTGCTTTTCTTGACCAGCCTATTATTTTAGGTGAACAGCCATGTCTTGTTCTGGCCCTAGTAATGAAAAGCATCCCCATAGCATGATCCTGCCACCACCATGTTTTATTGAGTGTGTGTGTGTGTGTGTGTGGGTGTGTGTGTGTGTGTGTGTGTGTGTGTGTGTGTGTGTGTGTTTTTTTTTTTTTTTTTTTTTTTTGTTCAAGTTGAATTTACATTTTGTTTGGAAAAAAGCTGGT